TAATGTGTTGTGTTTCAGAACCACTAAAACGTGCCTTGGCCAGTTTTCGCAGAGCAGCTGAACGTTTAGACGAGTTGATTCACAGCTCAGACCTGGCAAATGAGACGTAAGTGGACACGCATACATTTGACGCACACGTTTCATCCACAGGAAGGGACATGTTAAGTTTCCTCCTTTTCATTTTCCAGGCCGCTGAAAGTCAGAAAGATCAACGACCAGCTCATGTTGGTGGACAGAGCGTTCTTGAATCCTCTGGCCTTCGAAAGTAAATATGGATACAGGTGAGACAGTCGTGTCATTTGAACAATGATACAAACTATAGAAGGGGGTTTAGAGCTGTAGCCAAACAAAGTACAGCTGCCAGAAAGGAATCATTAGTTACACATCTACAACTGATTAGTCTTAGAAGTCCAATTTAAGATGGCCACCACAGCTAATCAGGCCTAGCCAACACAAAAATGTGTCTGCACCTCAGTGAATTTTACAGATACCGAGTTAAAGTTTGATGTAGTAGTAGCTGATAGTCATTCACAACACTAACCCTGAGCATGGCATCTTGAGATATTACAGATCATTAACAAGGTTGGACCAAAGGTGATGTGCAGTCCAAAGAATGCCAGACATCTATTTTCAATTTGTTTTTATTGTCACACAGGCACGTTATCTGGGCTTCGAGTAATGCCGGCAAGCAGACGTTCCCAGGTCTGGCAGACGCCTTCGCTAACGCTGAGTCATCAAAACTGCCCAGTGACTGGCAAAAGGTGCACTATCACCTGTCAGTGGTGAGCCAAGCCATTGAAGGGGCCGCCAGCATGCTGGCTGATGTAATATAGGCATAAAAATGGAGGAGTGCATGAAGCAATAAGACTCTGATGGACTATTTATAAAACAAGAAGATTTGGTCATCCGTCTTATTCATAAACGATAAATAAAAAATATTACACAGAATATACCTAATTAGAGTTATGTGATAAAAAAATGTTTTTTCATGATGTCTGTGTTTTAAAATGTATTTTCCAGTGTTTTCTGACTTCCTGCAGTGATTTTTATCAGTTTTTTTTTTCAAGCACAGCCAAGGCGACCAGCACTCAGGAAATAAGAATAAAGTTGTTGTTTTTTTTAAAAAAAAGCTGCAATAATATGCAATAATGTAATAACACTACACCCAATATTTTGTACTAATATTCCAGTACTTTTTTAATTTCCACACATAAAAACATTTGCTTATACACTGATTTCTGATGATTAAATGAGGTTAATAATAGTCTTCTCTTGCTTATTTTGTGTTGTTTTCAAACTGTTGCTGGAAGTTTCTGCTCTGATCAGTTGCAGCAAAATAACTTTGTGTTAAAAAAATCAAATTGTGTTGACTAGTGTGAATGGTCTTTCTGTACTGAATCAGAAGTGATAAAAATGTATTCACAAGGACCAAAAGGCAAATATTACCAGATCTGTGGTCACTGATAACCCAGAGACAAACCACAGCATAGTGTCCTAAAAAGGACCTGAAAGATTATATTCATTATACTTTATTAGATGCTGAATTACTGCAAAACTTTTAACACAAAATGTGGCTTTTTTTAAAACAAAACAAGAATGAAATTATTACCCTAAAAAGGAAACTGAAAGTATAGCATCTGAAAAACTCGTTTGTTTCTTAGTTTTGTATAAAATATTGTTCTATGTAATTTGACTTTGCGCTGAGCTCAATGAAATGTTTAATATTATTTTTTTAGAAATAAGAGTTTTGCTTTAACATAGACATATTTCTGTTTTGTTGTGGCTTTTGTGAAGTTGTTTTCTATTTAGTTAACTATAGTGTTTATTTGGGATATTGTTGGCTGAATCTGACTTGAAGAGATGGACTTGCAGTACTGCTTCCTGCCGCTAGAGGTCAGAAAACACCTTGAGATGGGTCAGAAATGTGTGACCAGTGCTGGCTGCAACAAAAAAATAATTAAAATGCAGCCAGGAATTTTATTCACAGATGTTTTTTTTATTTTATAATATTACCTTAGTAATTTTGCTTGATACATGATATACTTTTAAAAACTGAGGAAAAGTTTTTAAAAAGGCAACCGTGCCATGCCTCTCTGCACTACATGGGTGCATATAAATGAAAAAGATTATATTTACCAGTAAGTACAGATTGGTGTGGCACATTTATTTATTATTATACTTAGATGAACTTAGATTCCTGATTGTTTACAAACCATCTGTGGGTCATGTGTGATCAAGCTGCCATGCGACATGCCATGCCTTTCTGATGCAAAACTGTTTTATCATCTACAACAATTTTCAGTCAGGTCATCTGGACGGTTTCTTTTTTTGCTGAAACGTTTCACCGTCCATCCAGAAGGCTTCATCAGTCAAGGAAACAGACAACACAAAACTGGTAAAAAATAAATAAAAAAAACTGTCCAGATGACCTGACTGAAAATTGTTGGATTGTATAACTGGATTTTTGAGCATGGACTTTTTTTTTTAATCATCTGTTCGAACACAAACTGTATAAAGAATGACCTCATTTACCAAAAGTAAGAGACTTTCGTTTCCCCAAAGATCAGATCAGATACAACTTTTTCCAGACATGTTGGTTTGTCTGTTTCAGAAATGAATGACTGCTTGTATCATAAATATAGATGTTCTTCAGTATTTTTAGCAGGAGACACAAACAAACCGTGTTTTTTTTTATTCTTCCCCCTGGAGTGCTTTGTGAGTAATTTGACATTCACAGGATTGGTCATTGATATTTGCAAAACTGCCCAGAGCGAGTAGAGAATGTGGTTTGAGTGAGCAGGAGGCGAACAGGAGAAAAATCACATTTTAGATACATGTTTTTTTCTTTTGATTTTTTTTACTGACAAAGCCTCCTGGATGGGAAGTGAAACAGCTTCAGTTGTTTTTGTTTTTTTAACCATTTTTTGGGATTAAACATTATTCAAGATAAATTATAAGTGATGATATAAATAGTATCAAGTAATTTGGTCTTTTCTGTGTTTTATTTTGTTCAGATAAAGCAGCTTCATTGCGTTATTGCACGTGGTCTGTTTTGGATTTGATGGAGCCATTTAACATCCGTATAACTTTTTTTTACCTCACTTGGATATTGGCATAAAGTTTAGAAGAAAATTTTTGTTTCTTAAAACTACTCCAGTCTTTTCTGTACCTCTGGAGGAAATTTAAATAATAGGAAAATTAATGAAATCAAGATTAGGACTGGAAACCTTTCCAGGACGAACCCCGTCTTGTGTGTCAACTGCAGGAGGAAGGCACCAGTTCCTGCCGACCCTGATTAGCATTGTGGGTGTAAAAAAAATAAACGGAATCATGATTATATCATCAGATTTTGACTTGAAATCTTCATTTTTCTTCTTTCACTTCAACCTTAAAAATGCACAGAAGTATCAGTTTGAAATCAAGTTATAACAAAATGTTTCAAAAAGTTCAAGCTCCACTGTGTCGCTGAGAAATGACAAACATAGGCTGTACTCGCCAGTCGCAGAGTTTATTCTTTAAATATACATAGACTTTCCCCCCCCCCCATATTAAATACCCTAACGCACCCCCCACCCCTCCCTCCTCCCACATTCTCAACCCATTGCTTTCTTTTCTCTCCCCGTCCAAAAGAAAGTTTGTCCAAGCTGAAAACACACTCTACTTTGTGCAGCATATTGCTTATTAAGACATTTTTGAAAACATAAATTAATAATACTACAATGTGTCTTTTCTGCCAGTTATTTGCTCCAACATCAGACTGCTATGAACACAATCTAAAAAAAAGAAAACAGCACAATGTCCCTCAGTCTGGCTACATAACGAAAATGAATTCCTGGGGTTTTTTTTATGTGTACATAGTGGTTTGTACTGCAGCAGGTAAAATATTACATTTATCCCAACAGAAGTCTGGAGTTTAGTCACATTAGGTCCATCGGTTTTATTTTAATTTGAATGATAGATCAAATAACGTCGGCTGTTTGTATGATTTCTCTAGTGTCTCTGCTCTTCTGTTAGAGAAATGTAAAAGTGCATGACATCCCACAGTCAGGGGGGTGTTCATCATTTTGTGGCCTTTATTTTGTTGTTTTTAAACCAGCTTTAAAATAGTTTTGGTCCAATGAGTGAGGCAGAGTGAAGGACAGTGTGAAACGGCACTAGAGGATAATTCAGGTGTTTCAGTCACAAGGCATGCATGTTAACACTCAAACTCAGAGTTGTCATAAAAAGTGTTCTTGCATTGTCATCTTTTATATGCGATATGCTTCAGTCTGACGGGCGTGCGTGTATGTTTTAGTGACACTTTGTGCATTTCTTTCCTTGTACAGATGAAGGCACTGAAAAAGTCCTGCTTTTGATTACTTCCTTGCTGGACAAAATTAGCCTCAAAGCTAATTTTCTAAAAATGTTTTCGGTGAACTGCCGTGTTTGTCTGAGTGGGCTTTTTCTAAATCGTCTCTGAATCTTTAATAAAAAATTAAATAAAATAGCGCACGCACTAAAAAGGGGGACTTTTTCAATGACCAACACTGTATGTGTCTTGTGTGCTTGTGTTGTTTGTCATCGACTCTGATCAAGTTTCGTGTTCAGAATTCCTGCAGCTTTTTTTTCGGTTCCACTTCCACTCCTTCAGGAAGCAACGAAGGGGCTGCGTTTGTATTGGAGAGCTTCTAAAGGTCAGGCAGGGGTCACAGACGGGAGGAGTATTTAGGGTTTCTTGGCACCTCGGTGAAAGATTTCAGCTCATATGGAATCCCGGTATCCACTTCGATGGATTTGCGGGAAAATAGCAGCCGGATATCGTTGTGCAAGTAAATCTTCCCAGATTTGGAGCTATGGAATCTGAAAAGATATGAAAAAGAGGAAACAAATGGGATATTTTATTTGAACTAAAAGGAAAAAACTACTGCTAATGGAGAAAACTACATGTATATTAACAAAAAAACTATTAATTCTAGTAAACTACTGGTGTTCAATGATGTAATTATTAAAATATTCCTTTCTTGTTGTTAGTGTTAATCATTATGTGCATTCAACAGTGTTCAGTCAGGTCATCTGGATGGTTTCTTTTTTTGCTGAGACGTTTTGTCCTTCATCCAAAGGACTTCTTCAAGCCACAAACAAACTGGAGTCCCACAAATACCACACTCCCATAGTGGACAAAAACAGTTTGCTGGTGAAAAGATTAGAGATGCAAATATCCTTAATTTTGGGAGATCGGCCGATACTTCCGATATTACGATTTTTTGTAGTTTTAACAACAATTGTCTAAACTTCATTTATATTTCAGAGCACCACCTCATGGTCAGTTAAAAAAAGTTGGTGTTGTTACTAGGATATTGTTCAAGGGTATGTTTTTCAATAAAATATTATTGGAAAACTGAAGGTGCATTGTGACCTTATAACACCTGATGGTGTCGCTTATAAAACAAAATCGATCGGCCAAAATTAGAATCGGCAGGTCGGACTTTTTAGAAACAGGTGATCAGCCAGAAAACTGAAATCGATGCACCCCTAGATAAGATGGTTTCTGGACTTCTGAAGAAGTTCTTTGGATGAAGGATGAAACGTCTCAGCAAAAAAAATAAAACTGTCCAGATGAACTGACTGAACATTGATGGATTTGTACCTGGATTATCGAGCATGAACTGTTGGCATTATATGTACTGGAAACATTTCTGTGAAGCTTTTTTGAGAAACTATTGTCTGGTGCAGTAATACAATCCCAAAATAACAACAACAGAACTAGGCAACAACATTACAGACCTGAAAAGGAAAGAAGACGATAAAAGAACATCATACCTGAGATGCATCAAGTAGCAGAGAATCTTCTTCCTGTCCGTCACTCCACCGCCTGGAGACGCCTTGTCTTTCCCCTCAGCGTCCTCCTCCACTGGCACCAGGAAGATGCGATGGCGCAGGAAGGTCATGTGATTGACAGGCATATCTCCGAAGTTGTACGTCACCAGGAACATCTTCACCACAGTTTTGTTAGGATTAAATAAGGTCTGAGGAAATATTTAACAGAATAAAGTTTATATTTTGAATACATTTTGTTACTGAAACCATAAAATGTTAAAAACACTTTTGTAAGGAAGAAAACAAGAGTGGACCAACTTACCACTTGAATGGTCCCTGCTTTGGGTATGCTGTATCCTTTTTTTCCAATAGGCTCAAGACATATCACCCCCTGTGAGAGGGTGACACAAAGGTACCAAGAAATTAACATCTTCCACCACAAATGATCCAAAAACGTAGCTGTGACCTTCCATAATGCTGGTCCACACTTGGATCAGACGAATTGGTTCAGCTCATCAATGTGAATATTGTACAACATTTAGTTTTGAAGCAAGCAACAAACACAAAAGAAAAAAAGTCCAATATATTTTACATTTAGATTTTAAAAAGCATGAATCGAGCTTAGTAAATACAACCCATATAATTATTGAGTACTTTGTTTATCTTTAGATTTATTTTACACAACCACAGAAATGCCCCCCCCACACACACACACACACAGAGAGATGACTGACCAGGAAGGGGGAGGGTGCGCTATGCTCTGAGATGTCGTAGTATGTAACCTGCACAGGCAGGGTGACGTGCTGAGGACAGTAGGAACCGCTGGCACCGATCTCTGCTGTGAAGCCTTCAATCTGCCCCGATGGGGAAAAACGACCCTTTAGTATGGATTCCTGTAATGGGGAAGAAAAAACAAAGTTTATATTCATAATTCCAAGTCCTTAATAATCTTTAAACTCTACCGATTCGGATTTATTAGGATTAATCACAACATCCCATACAGTCTTTATGTTGAAAGTCTATATGTTGAACATGGTAAACTATCCAGCTGTTAGCCAACGATACTGGAGAGTAACATTTGACGGATGTTTTTCTTTTCTAACGCTAATTCTAAGATTGATGAAAATATGATGCACATTCATTGTGCAAGTACGCTCAAATAAACTGAGAAGATTTGTAAACTGTTAAAATATATTTTAAAAAGTCTAGTGGCGGCATTGGTAAAGCTTCTGCCTCTCAGAGAGAAGGTCACTGGATCGAATCTTGGCCCCTGGGGGTGGGGGGGGGGCATTCTGGGTGGTTAGCATGTTCTCTCTGTGCATGCATGGTTTTCTCCGGGTACTCCAGTTTCCTCCCACAGACTAAAAACATGTATGTTAGACTGACTGGTAACTAGGTGAGTGAGTGAGTGAGTGAGTGAGTGAGTGAGTGAGTGAGTGAGTG